CAAAAATAAATAAATAAATAAATAAATAAATAAATAAAATACAGCTATTCCTGCCAGGTGTCCCAGTGCTCCACATGTTGAGGCAGAAGGACTGCCATTGAGTTCAAGGAAAGCCTCAGCTACAGTGAGTACAAGACCAGCTTGAACTACACAGCAAGACTCCGTCTCAATAAATAAATAAATAGCTATTCCTTTAATTAACATAACCTAGAAAATTTTTATTTACATGTATGGCTGATCCCATGATTCTGTTGTACAGCACCGTTCTATATCTTCCTTCTACCAAGACACTGTGTGCTGCAGTGGGTCAGAGTAACGTAACCAGCAAACCAAGAGGATAAAGGAAAATCCACTCTGCAGCCAAAGAAACAGGAGGGCCATCTCTGTCCCAGCCTGGACGCAGGGTAGTTCTTCCCACAGTTCCTCTCAGGGCAGTGCAGCAGCCAACCATAGCAGTGGCTGGGGTGACCACACAAAAATCCACTGATTCTACTTTCACCCAGGGCAGGAGCACAGGCTTGGGAGTCTGACTTCATCTGTCCTCTAACCAAACGCCTACTTTGCTCAGCTCTACCCAAGGGTCAAAAGAGGGAAGAAACATGGCTCCACGCCACTAATCCATCCTTCTGATACTTAATGAGAAAAGTGGGTCCTGGGACTAGATTGCAACCTGTTAGGGGTAAGAAATGCTTCCCCACCCCAAATCTTAGGCCTGTCTAGTCCTGAGAATGCTCCCTACAGGGTTTAAGGGTCAAGACTGGGTCTGAATTAGAGTTCTGATTGCCTAGAGGCAGACAGACAAGATGGGCCAGGGCATGGCTTTGGGCAGCCTGCAAATGCCTCCCTTCGAGCCCTTCTTTCAAGTGGAGGAAAATGTCTCTCCAAAGCCGCATGTAAAAGACAGGAGATCAGAAAGGAATATGCAAATAGAACACAACTTTACCTCCACTACTCAGTTAAGTGGCTCCAAGACCACCACAAAGTCCCTTCCCACAGGATGCCCAGGTACCAAAGTTGTCTGCCCTTGTGCCAGCACGTCGGCTCCGACCTTCCCAGCCCCCCTAGCAAGAACCTTCTAGCTCTTGGTGTTAAACGACAAGTCTCGAGTCTCGCCAACAGGCCCATGAAGAGACTGGGGAGAGTAAGGGACGCAGCATACAACCCCGATCCCCACCCCTGCAATAGCCTACAGATCTCCGCCCCGCACGGGATTCCCAGACTCAGCGCTGCTGCCACTTCAGGCTGCTGGGGACCCGCATTGCATGTGTAATGGGGGTTGGGAACAAAGACGCACTAGACCTAGCACCCCGCCGCCGGGCACCAGCTGCCTCCACTGAACTTTTCACTGGAGCTTCAAGACTCGGCTCTCCCAGTTTCTCAGGACTACCCCCGCCGGTCTCGGCGCGCCCACCCGGATTGGGCACGCCCCAGCACACTAGAAGTGGAAAAGGGGTGCTTCAGGTTGGGAGGGGAAGGCGCTTTCCCTGCGCAACTCCGTGAGCATCCACCTGCAAGTATCCATCTCCGCAATCCGACGAGGTAGAGCTGCGATCCACACCGCCTGCCGGCCCGCTCGAAGGCGGGTCACCCACGATGGCCACGTGCCTCTGGAGGCCAGGCGCACGGAGACCTGTTGGTTTTCCCTCTTAGCCCGCTCCCCTCCCAGTTGCCCAAAACAAAGCGGCCTCACTAGATGAGCGCACTCTGCATCTGGGGCCCACAGCAAGAAAATCAGGGGCAGGTGGAAGCCTGCGCTAAAGCCAGCCGTGCACCGAGTGCAGGGCAGCCTGGCGGGATAACTCAGGGGATCCTACTGGCTAAGTGAAGCCGCTCCCTTCGCCTCGCAATCTCTGGTAGAGGGGCGCGTAGCCCGCCGCCCCCGACCACATCTGCCCGCCCCGCTTGGCCGCCTTCCCCGCGCTCGGCTTCTCTCTCACTCCTCGTTCCACGCATCTGCGCAGCTCGAACCCCGACCCCGATGCTCCGGATCCGGGGTCCTCCGCAAACCAGAATCCCACAAACGCCAGCGCGGACTAGCTCGGTCCCGGAGACCCGCGCGCGCCCCCACTCCCGCCCGGGAGGTGCGATCTGGACAGGTGGCGCGGCGACGAGGCCGCGGGCCCGCCCTTTGTTGGTAAACACCGCGCGACGCCCTCCCCATGCCGCGCCCGGTCCTCACCCGCGCACAGCGATCCCCAGAGGAGGGCGAGGGCCGCCCAGGGCGCCGTCATGTTCCGCGGCGCCGCCCCGCGGACACCGGAGCCCTAGGGCAGGGCCGCGCGGCGCTCGGGGAGCGCAGGGCCCGGCGGCGGCGGCGTTCTTCCCGCTCCTTCCTTCGGGCTCGGTCGGCGCGCGCTTCCTGCGCCTCTGTCCCCGGGCAGCGTGTGGGCTCCGGCTCAGGGCTGCTGCGGGCAGAGCAGACTGCTGCCCGGGCTTCGGGGCGACGCGGGGGCCGGGGGGCGGCGGCGGGGGACGGGCCGGGGCGCGCCCGACCCAGGCATGGCGCAGCGGGGCTGGGCCCGGGCCCCGGGCGCAGGGGCCGAGTCCGGAGGGGCCATGGACGGGGGAAGGGGTGGGGGGAGGGGAGCTGAACCGAGTCCAAAATGGCTCCTGAGCGGCGGCCGCGGATCCGAGCCAGCGGGGAAACCCGGATGTTGGATACAAAGAGGCGGGCGAGAGGGGCGGGAGGGGGAGGGGAGGCGGGCCCTCGGTCCGCGTGGTCCGCGCCCCCCTCGGGGCGGGGCCGCAGAGCAACAACAACACGGAGGCCCCGCCCCCAGCCCGAGCTTTAGGAGCGCCCGTGCACCTCGGCCCCGCGTCTAGGCGGCCGGACCCTCGGCTCCTGGGACTCTGCCTCGCCCAGACCCCGTGGCGCTCCCACCTGGGATTCCCTCTGAGCACGCCAGAGTCCCGCCCCCAAAGCGCGAGGACGACCTCGGAGTGTGTGGACAGCTCCCGGACTCTGGCCGGAACTCCTCCGTGCCCTAATTCCCAGGAATAATGGGCAAATCGTGCCGTTATTAACGCGCCAATGAATTGGCAGAAAAAGGTTAGCTTCTCAGAGTGGACACACAGTCCTCTACACCACGCACACAGAGGTAGAGCCAGGGGTCCGGGAAAGCGAGGATCTGTACCTCTGGAAGCCAGGAGCAGCGGTCACCCACGGGTTCCTTCCTCTTCTCACACTGGCACGGCTCGCCAATGTCGTGATAGGGCTCCCAGCTAAAGAGGGCAAGCCCATCGCCCCTCAGGGAGAAGCTACACAACCCTGAAGAAACCAACTGGACAGCAAAGCACACTTTGGTTGAACCCAATGCACTGTAACATACTAGGCTCCTGCTTTCCCACTGCATTATATCCACAACCTGCCTAATTAGGGGATTTTTTTCTTTTAATGGTGGAAATCCAGTCAAGATCTAATGTAAAAGTCCATAATGTGCAATGTATATTCCCCGGAGAAGTTGAAATGGAGGTCAGCTTCCCTCAGGCTCCAAAGCAACAGCAACACCCTAGAAACTACACTTTGGAATCACTCTGCCCCCAAATTTCTGGGTCTCTAATGATCCTTCTGGTTCTGGAAAAGCCCATGTAGTAAATGAAGACCCTGCTTGCCACAACCCCTACTGATGTCCCATTCTTTAGGTTTCTTTTTAACACAAGATGGAGTGCTACTGTGTGGTAAGCAGAAGCAGTGTTGACAGGATGCCTTGGCTGTATGTAATACTGTATTTGGAAATCTCTCAGGAGAATCTAGAATGGTAGGGAAGGCAAGTCCATACCATTCACAAGAGACGTTATTCTGGAAGGAGTCAACTATATGTGCCAAAAACTAGATCCACTTGTTCTATTCCACACCAGGTCCAGTATCACAGTAAGGACTCAGGGGGTTCAAGTTGGCAGGCACATCTGTGTAACCTGCTGACCTTCCTGAATTTGTATATCCAACTACCTGTTTGACAGCTGATAGTGCTGGAAAATCAGACAGCCAAAGAGAAACTATACACTACTTATTTTAGGAAAAAGGGTGAATGTTCTCAACCTAATAAAAGGTGAGGCTGAGGGTATATGGAGAAGTTGCTAACATCCACGGTAAAAACAAATCTTTCAGTAAAATTTTGAAGAAGGAAAAAGACATTTGTTCTAGTTTTGCAATCACACCTTAAACTGCAGAAATTATGGCCCCAATGTTGATATGCTTCAGTTAGAATGAAAATAGCATTAAACTCTAGAGTTTGGCGCTATGTGTGGTTGCAAGCGTCTGCGGAGAGTCTTGAGCGGTACCCCATGTATATGGGAGGCCTAATGTACTCATTTCCTTGAAATCCTCCATGGGATCTTGGGCCAGAAAGCTCTATAATCAGCCCTTTTTACCTCTTTCATCTCACTGTTAACCACTGAGTCTCACTGGCCTGTTTTTTGTACTTTAGTCACATTAAGATTGTTTCTACCATAGAGGCCTCACTCCCTCCATCCCCACTGTGGGAATCTCTCTTCCCTGATTTCTCTGGGAGACCTGAAATCCATAGTGTTGAGCTCATGAGATTAGCTTCCGTCTCTGCCATCCTTTTGTTCGCAACTCCAGTGAGCAAATATGAGGCTAGCTGAGCAAGGTGATGATGAGTATCTGAAAAGAAAGTTTGGGCTGGGTTTTCTGTTCTTTCAAACATCAGAAGTGCTAGATTCTTCACCTGATATCTGATAGTAACTGGATGCTTAAAGGCAGAGAAAAAGCAAATGTAGTCAAAAGAGCAAACTCAGGCCCTCCTGTCATTAAGGCAAGTGCTCTACCATTGAGCTATAATTCAAACAAACCCAGCCCTGAAGTATACTCTTAAGGAAATCAGAATTTTTAGAATTACTTTGGGGACCACAGATCAGAAAATAGAAGCTTGGCTTGGCCGTGGCTAGACATACGCTATAGTGGGTAATTTAGGTGCAACAGTACCACACTAACTCTAGAAGTCCAGTTCATACTTCATGGGGAGAGGTTGTGTGGTTTCTTTGGCACTACAGTCCCATGCCCAAAATAAACTATTTCTTATTCCCTAGCTTTCATTCTTAGTGATGCTTTATTCCTTTGCCTCATTTTTTGTCCTCTTCTGACTCCATAGTTCTTGCTATCACCCTATATTAAAGGTGCCTACCTTCAGGATCAACTAGAAAGGTAACGTTCTCTAAGTCTGGAGAAATATTAGGTTACACTATGCTAATGGAAAAACTCTGAATCTTAAATGGCTTAAAACAAAATTTATTGCTCACTCATGCTACATGTCCATTAGCTTCCACCAAGCAAGCTCCACTCATGATAATTCAGGGACTAAAATAGGTTTAAAAAGTCTACTTTTCTGTGTGTGTGTGTGTGTGTGTGTGTGTGTGTGTGTGTGTGTGTGTGTGTGTGTGTGTGTGCAATTCTTGGCCTCTGCACTGAGATGCACCCCCAGCCTTTTTTAATTTTTTTTAATTTGAGAGAAGATCCTACTAAGTTGCTGAGTTGCCCAGGCTGACATAGAACTTGAGATCTTCATACCTCAGCTGGGATTGCAAGAGAATGCCACAGACCCTGCTTAGAGGCTACATTTTGAATCATGCTTCTCCTTTTGGAGAGATAGGAAAGAGGGCTTAGTAAACTGCATACCAACTCTTAAAACTTCCACCAAATTCTGAGAAAATGGTTCTCTCAGAACATCCCAGGACATTGGCTTCATAGTTTTTGAATCTTTTAGAACCTCACATGAAAACATTGAGCAACTACATGGAAAAACCAGAAAATCAAAATACTTTAACAATAAAATTGGGTGACAAGTTTTCCTCCAACATAGAAGTAAATGGAGATGTACTACTAATAACAATGAAACCTCTTGTGGGCCCACATCTGTGCTAGAAAAAACAGAGGGACATGGGATGAATGAGGGGCCTGACAACAGTAGAGCCCCTGACAGGTTTCAGTGCAAAGCAGAAATCAGTTATGTGAGCTAGTAAAACTGGGAGGGATCTTCCCCAGTCCAATAACAGGTGAATGTAAGGAGATTGTGATAGGGATAAAAGAACCTGGAACACCCTGCCCAGTGAACACTTTAAATTCACCAACCAGCCAGTGGTGAGACGTGACTATAATCCCAGTACTCAGGAGGCTGAGGCAGGAGAATCACTGTGAGTTTGAGGCCAGCCTGGGCTGCATAGTGAGTTCAAGGTCAGCTTCAACTGCATAGTGAGGGCCAGCGATATAGTTCAGCAGTCTAAAGCACCTGCTTAGGCAAGCATTCAGGGACTGTGGTTTGACCCCCTGCTCCACATGCCACGACAGCTCTGCCCCCAGGGTGGGCTGAGCTGGCCACAAAACACACACACACACACACACACACACACACACACACACACACACACACACAAACTGCATAGCAAGAACTTATCTCGAAAAAAAAAAATTAAAACTTACTAGATATAAGGTAGAACAGGTGTCAGTCCCAGTACCCCCACCATAATAGCTTAGGAAGGGGCACAAGAAAATGTATATCATAGAGAGCAGAAAAATACATGAAAAGAAATAGATACAAAGATGACAAAGAGGGGCAGGGGCGTAGTTCAGTGGCACAAGTGCCTGCCTGGCAAGGGGAGGATCCTGAGTTCAATTCTAGTAAAGAGAGAGAGAGAGAAAGAGAGAGAGAGAGAGAGAGAGAGAGAGAGAGAGAGAGAATGTGAAATTATTGATCAAGGATTTTAAAAAGCTGTTATAAATCTGATTGAAGATTTAAAGGAAAATACATTTTTTTCAACAATACATGGAAATTTCCAAAATTAAATTATATCCTGGGCCAAAAACACGGTTTTTGTTTTTTGGGGTGTTTTTTTTTTTTAATTTTAGGGAAGGGTTTGTGGGGTGTTCAGGATCTCTCTACTAGATCAGTCTCCTAGTGATTCTCCTGTTTACAGCCTCCCAAGAGTTGGGATTTCAGGCATGCGCCACCACGCCCAGTCTCAATTGCTATCTCAGTGCACCCTGGGTGTGGGGCGGGAACAGCAGGCCCAGGGATCGAACCTCTGGTTCCAGCATCTGCTTGCAGACACTTTAATCTGTTGAGCTATTTGACTGACCTGAGTTTTAAAGTATTGATATTATATAGGGTATAATTTTAGACCACAGAGAATATATTAAATAACAAAA